TACTGACCCCAAATTAATTTATTATTAATAGACTATTACTACTAGTCTATTATTAATAGGCTTAAATTACTATTTGTACAGTGTACTATTAATATTATGCAGCAGTTGTAGTTAGTGTGCGATTAGGTTTGGCTGAAGCAAATGGGTTCCTCACAATTTTGAGGTCAATATAATCAAGTCAGTAAAATCACTAACTAAAATGAAACCAAATGTGATCTAGCAGTGTTGAAGTTTGACTTGGTTCATTAAAAAAAGCATAAATTCATTTATTCCAGCATGGGAATTGAATTCAAATCATTCTGTGTAGAATCTTGGGCCCAACTAGACAGGATACATTTCTATTGGTACATGAGATTATGCTATCAATTTAAAAAGTGTGAATTCTTGAAGTGTTTTAATATTTAATATTAGTTGAGTAGGGATGTGTATTTTCTTCGGTATATGAAGTTTTAATGTTTTGATTTTTACTTTATACGCTACATTGAAGCAAACTTTATTTATTTGATTTTACATGTACATTTTTGAACCTTTGGTTCTTTTTTCCAACCTAAGCTAAGAGAGAGAGACAGAAAAAGTGAATGTGTAAAAGAAGGTTTACCCTGAGCTATGAGCTGTGACAACATGAACAGGTCTCTTCCCGCCTCTGTGTCATGTGTTTGACAGAGAGGATGGATGCGGTTTGATGGGTCCTGCTCTGTTCTGTCCGGACATGGTTCAGCATGGGATAGAACCTCCATAAGACAGGCATCAGATGCAACCCTTCTCCTGCTCTTGCTGTCTCTGTCTCTGTCCTCCCTTTATATTAATGTGATTCAACCCAGGTGAGACTGGAGGTGGAGGAGCCAATAGATTAGCTACAGAAGTATGAAATGCCCCTTTTTCCACAAACAGGGTGTTGCAGTTTCCAATCTTGTCCAGGTGTATCCAACGGAGAAAAGGCAGTTTTGAGGCAAAAAACAAACTTGATGTGTTGTGTGCTGCACCCCAGGAATCAGGAATGTCAGAGACGGGGAGTCAAGCTTTCAAAACAATAACATAAAATGTTATTTGAACTGTAAAGAAATATATTTTAAATATATAAAATAATACAGTAAAAATATTTTAAAGAAAAATTAATTATTTTTATTATAATATTATAAAAAAATCACCACTATAATATATTATAATATTATTTATTATATATTTTTTTGTTTTATATACACTACTGTTTAAAAGTCTCTTATGCTCACTAAGGCTGTGTTTATTTGATCAAAAATACAGTAAAAACAATAATATTGTGTAATGTTTTTCTATTATTATTATTATTATTACTACAATTTTAATGTTATTATAATATATTCAATATATTATATTTCTATTTTCATATATTATTTTATAGTATTTTTTATAGAATTATATAATTTACAGCTATCATATATGTAAATAGAATACTATGAATTTTATTCATTATACTGTATATTTAACTAACTTCTGGCTATTATATCAAAGCCAGCTTATGATTACACTCACAAATTACATTGGATGTCAAAATGAGTTCTCAAAACTAGAAGCAAGGCTTGTAAACAAAGACAGCAATGTGACATGTTTGTTTGTGGACAGATTATTTAGTAACAGCCAGCTGCATCATCATTTGGTTTTCAAGTCAGTGGAAATACAGGCTGGTTCTGAGTGGTAAAAAAGGGGTACAAATAGTCTGTTTTGGTACTTCTGTTCTTTGAGATTCATTCGTGGTTATTTTTAGTTGCGGTTGAAAGGGACTGCCACAGGGGAAGAATTTAAAGTTTACAGACAAAAGTTCCACTACATCAGTGAGTATATGAGCTCTCATACATGACAGGATAAATTACTTCCTCAAACATGTTCCTCATATTATAACGGATCTCAGTGAAGAGATTCATGAACTTTCCAGTGTCTATTTCAAGAGTGTAAGTCTGGTGGTGTTGGTCTGGGCCGTTGAAGTGAAGGAAGCATGGCTGTTCTCTGTGATGACTGGGCCACTCACTCACTCACTCTCCCTCTGTGTCTGGATGCGGGGCTGCCCGGGGCCTCTCCGCCCACCCTCAAGGGCCTGTCAGAGCAGCCTCACCAAAGGCAGATTAATCTACATTACTGCTAACAGCTCAGCCTGGCCCCTGAACCACTCACACCAACACACACACACTGTATTTAATCTCTTGCACTTCAGTCAAAAATCTACAGCTGAGCTTTTGTTCAGAAAATTAAGGTTAGTCAAAGTTGATTCATGAGTTTAAAAGTCCATAAATGAAGTCTTTTTGGCTAAACCAAAAAATCTGTATAGAAAAAGCACTATGCCTCATGAGGTTGTGTTAGCATACCACAAGCAAGTAATAACCCCTTTTTACCATGGTAAAATTACTGTGCAGAAGAGCTTCAATTCACCCTTCACCGGAAGTTTGATTGACAGGCGATCTGACCAATCATAATGCCAAATCCACCATTTTGTCTTACAAACAAACCAGACAGGAGTGTAGACAGTAGATTAACGTCAGTGGACTTGAACTGTGTATTGACGTCTTTCCATAGTTGAAACAACATATCTTCTGATGTTCATTCATGTTTATTCTGTGCTATAAATAGTAGTAAATAGGATTGGGCGATGTCTACCAAATTGGCATCGGATGATGTCTACGGCCCAACCCTAGTAGTAAATATGAAGAGACGATCGGTTCACATGCCGTTTAAACTGAGGCGCTACAGCGATCTGTCACGACACATTAAAGAGCCACAAAATGGTATTTGTTTAAATTTCTTAAAAATGGACCAAATTTGAAAGCTGAGACTTCGTTTCATACCAGAAGTAACCTGCTCTGTCTTGTCTGTCAGCACGCTGACAGTCTTCTCTTTGCTCTGCGGTGTATTTTTTACTGTGTGAGATTATGAAGTATGGCGTGAAAGTGCCATGGCTTGTCGGACATAGCAACAGTAACTAAGGGCGCGGTGTTTTTGTGGAAACACTGATACTTGTTTTTCTTCAGGATTCTTTGTTGAATAGAATATTCAAAAGAACAGCATTTATTTGAAATGGAATCTGTTGTAACATTATAAACGTTTACTGCCACTTTAGAACAATGTAATGTGTCCTTGCTGAAAGAAATCTTTAAATTCTTTACTGACCCTTTTGAAGAGTGCCATACTTTATCTTAATATTGATTGACAGGAAGTGGCAAAATCATAAGGATCTTGATCTTGACATAAATTACCTCCAGTTGTAGTGAGCACAGAATCATTACCATCCTGTAACACACATTCTTTTTACAGACCCAAGAATTCCCATTCGTCCCTCTCCGACGGCTGTTTCCTGTCCCTTTGGGCACCAGCACATCTCTGAACATCATGAACAGTCTGTCCTCTTGCTTGGAGTCTGTTTATGTGTGTGTGTGTGTAGCCAGTGTAAATAATGAATGCTACTTAAAGAGACATGTGGGAGATCTGGCTTTGCTAAACATGCTCTAAATAAATGTCCTCCTCCAAGCATGCACTCCCAATTATGAATTATGCCGGCCCAGCGTCCAATCAGAACACACCTTTTGTCAGTGTGGTGGAAAAGCCTCTGATGGGTTATCTTAACAAAATAAACATCTCAGAGCATAGATATAATATGAATACTAGTCAGTTTTGAGCAGTAGCATTGAGGTATGTGTTGTAATGCCATTTTGGTTTCTTCACTGTACATCTCTATATCTGTGTGTGCGTGCGTGCATGCGTGCGTGTGTGTGTGTTGAATGGGGCAGAGTGCTGCTCGGCTGCAGTGGTGATGAATGGGTGTGTGTGAGTTATTCATCTCCTGCTTATAGGAGTGGACAGTGGTCCTGCTCTCTCCACATATCAGCACATGGGATAATTCTGTCATTTATCAGGAATGACACAGGAGACAGAAACTCGCCCCGAGAGATCATCCCAGGGTCTCACCCCTACAACTCCCGCTCTCACCCTCACTGTACTTGTCCACACACCCACTTTGTACCACTTTGCCACTTTTCAAACAGTTTGTTTGGCTCTTTTTGTTACTTCTGAGTAGAGACAAACAGAATCACTTTTTCTGCATTTTGAGATTTGGGAAAAAAAAATATTTTTTTATTTGCTTTTTATCAAAGAATCCTGAAAAAATACATCATGCTTTCCACAAAATGATTAAGCAGCACAATTATTTGTAACATTAATAAGAAGAAGAAATGACCACCAAATCAGCATATTAGCATATTATCATGTGACACTGAAGACGGGAGTAATGGCTGCTGAAAATTCAGCTTTGCCATCACAGTAATAAATTACATTTTAAAAATATATTAAAATAGAAAACTGTTATTTTAAGTTGTAATAATATTTCGCAATAATACTGTTTTTACTGTATTTTTAATCAAATAAATGCAGCCTTGGTGAGGATAAGAGACTTCTTTCTAAAACATTTAAAAAAAAATAACTGACCGACTTCAAACTTTTAGGTGGTAGTTTATATGTAATATGCATATCAATTCATTTTGAGACCTCAGGAAGAAATAAATGTGCAAATAATAAAATTTCAAATACTGTCCTGCAGGCACAAATTGCCTGTTTGGTTTGGTCATGTGACAATAGGAAAGTGGGTTTTATGGAGAATTCCATCAGTAAATATGTGAAATTTATTAGCTTGAGGAATGCCACAAGCCACACTTTTTACTTTCTGGAGAAAAATAAATGCTCTAAGCGTGTCTACAGACAGATGGAGAGGAAAAAGGCAAAGTTGTCAGACCGGGTGACATGTTTTGCACGAAAGTCTGTTTGTTATTTTATTTTTTTTTTTTTTTAAAGACACATCTGACTGATTGAAATGTGAAATGTGTTTATCGAGTTCAGTCAGAAAAATAAATTCATTTTCGATGCAGGGCATGTACTCAATCACATGCATGCTAGTTTGTGTGAAAATGTTAAATGGGTAGTTTTTTACTATCGTCTAATCTTGTCTTCTCTTTCTCTCCATCTCTCCCTCTCCTCACCCACAGGATCATTCAAAATCGTATTCTGGTCTTCATCCTGGGCGCCATCATCCTCCTCACCATCGTCTTGGCCATCTATTTCAATTTGCGAGGACACTGATCTCCACTGGCTGGCCCTATGCGTGCACGTGTGAGTGTGTACGAGCATGTGTGTATGATTAATAGTGACAAAAGTGTTGGGCTGGAGTAATTAGGACAAATTGTTCACATGAATCATTCCTGGTGGGCAGTGACAGGGGGCCTCTCCTCACTGCTCTCGAGCGGAGCGGGACCGTTCTCACCCTCTCTCCCCTTATATTTATGCTACGTCCATTACTTTTTAAACTTACCGACCCATAGAGAAACCCAGCACGGATGTGTGGACACGAGGACCATGATGAGAACATCAGATGGATGAAGAATATGAAGACGAATATCAACGTATGTCAAAACCTGCTGTTTAATGTTTAGTTTTCTTTTTCTGTAGGCTGGAAAGGGGCATGAGAGTTAAAAGCTACTAGCAAAATCCCATCTATCAGGTGTGTGTGCGTGTGTGCGTGTGTGTGTGTGTGTGTGTGTGTGTGTGTGTGTGTGTGCGCCGCACACAAGGCAGCCCACAACTTCAGTGGCCATGGTAACGGGGTGAAGGTGAGGCTCTTTATGCTGGAGAGAGGTGTGTGTGTGTGTGAGTCTGCTAGATGTGCACTCATGCTAGAACTCCTGTGATCGCCATCATCCCTCAGCGCAGGCAGTGAACACTCACACAGAGCCAAACACACTCCTCACACTTTCTCCCTCTCTCGTAGGCTCTGCTGCTAAGAAACAGCACTGGCGCTCCCTATGAATGACGGGGTGTTCTTTTTGCATGTATCAATAAGGGTCAATAATGTGACTTCTTATTTTTTGTGCCTGGGTGCAGTACCATTTAGCACATGGTGCAGAATCACACACTACACACAGCCCAAAGGTCACGCGCCCATCTCTCAGTCCCCCTTCATCCAGGATTAGTAGCTTCTCACGCTGTTCCTCTAAGGTCAGCAAAGACCTCGCATGTGTTTAGTAAAACCAGCAGGACTGCTTTGAACAAGAAAACATCCATGTCCACTCTTACCTTTATTAATCAAATCTGACAGCATAATAGTAACTGTAGTCAGTCGTACTAATAAGAAATGTTTCCTGTATTTATTTGTCATTTCAGATGAATTGTGATGTATTTTTTTGCTGTAACTTTTGTTTACTTGTTGTAGCCATTAGTGTTTGACATTAAAATTATATCATTTGTCTCTACTGTACAATATTTTTGCAAATGTGCTTCATTAATCCTATATGGGGACCAACTAGCAAGCATCAGTATGGAAATATGCAAAATTTGGGAGTCTGCTCCAGGCTTTCACCTGCTGGTTGAGTATTAGTCTATAAGAAAGAAGGTAACAATGGCTGTGTACTAATAGTACAATTAATTTCTGTTAGTTTATCATGTTTTTATGTGAGGATTCCTTTGTATGTTTTCATTATTAATTTTTATCGCCATGCACTCCAGCTCAGTTCCAAAACTTAGTGAGTTGTTTTGCTGTCTAATGCATACATAGGAAGTTGACGTCCAAGGCAGCATCACTAACTGAAATTAACCTCATAAAACCTCATAAATGCCTTTTCTCACAGCAGCCAGAATAATTAAATGTATCATTTTGATGGCGGATTTTAATCCAGAAAGGATTATGTGTTTATGAAACACATGTGAATGAAATTCAATTATTTTCCAGTTTTAAATGTGCTTCTGATTACAGATAGCCTGGGATTAGACAAGATTTGTATTTTAAAGACAACCAGTTCGAAGGGAGCATAATTTGCTTTTTGGGTTAAAAGAATTTCTTAATATGAAATTCGGATGGTATGACAATTAGCGATTAGACTGTAAAGAAATTGAAGTCTACACGCTAATACACACTATACTCAAAGTCACACAATGCTGATGTTGTTAACATTAATAATATGAGAATAAAGTATAACAATAATAATAATTTGCACGGTTTGATGTGATATGAGCTAACCAATCTTTAGATTAAATCACCATTGGTAGCGCGATTTATTGTAATGTTTTTTTCCTCAGTTGGTCAGAACAAACGTGGCAGACTTGTTATTACTTGTTCAGATGACAATATCCGGTGAAAATTCTTATTTGAGTCATATATTCCAAGACGTAGGCTAGAATCTGTGATTGCGAAGTACAGTAAATATCCACACAGACTTCTCAAAACATTAGATTCATCCGCGCCGGAGCACAACCCACGCAAGGAAGATAATTTCGCAAACAGCTGCAATTGCAGGTTTTCAAACGGAGATGGCGACAAAGAGGCAAAATTTACGGACTGCAGCTTTAACCATAAAGACAAATAATCTATGCTAGTGAATCGAGTTAGCTGTTAGCATGTTGCTAAGCTAATTACGCAATACTATCATAAGCACAAAAATACAAAGCACACAAATATTGGGTAAAATGAACCATTTTAATTACATTGAGCTATAACAATATTCAGTATTGAATTTTTCTCACTTCGTCTGCTTTCTTGCTTTTATTTTTTCACAGAGTTGTGACAGTGCATTCTGCGATTTCTTGTTTCTCTGAGAAGGATATATGCAATGTTGTCTTAAAATTTGCCCAATTGAAGAAATCTTAAAGACAGCAGATTATTAAGTTCCTCAGCCTTAACGTTCAGAGTGTGCCTATGATTGCTGCCTACGTAGGTAACTCACTAGGTTTTGAAACACTGTGTTGATTAGCACACCGCCGCCTCTCTTCCCAACACCCCACGCTCAACACCCCTTCCACACGGGACGCATGTGCACACCTCTGCCGGTCGAGGTGCCTGACGGACAGACGGACGGACCGTCAGATAGACAGGCAGACGGCATTTGATATTCTGTTTCAGGCCGGGTGGATTGTCTTATTTTGTAAGCAGTCTGGTGGGGGTTTTTCTCTGCCTCTGCTTCACAGCTACGGCTTCAAAGCGCCAAATTAATGGCCAACAAAATAGTGCGTCTCCGTGTGTCCCATGTGGGGCCAACCTATTGAGAGTTATCATTAAGTTGAGGAAGGAAGAGAAAGGACGAGGGGGGAGCTGAATCCCGCCAGTTTAACAAACCTCATCAGATAATGACCTCTCTGATTGGGATGTGTGTCGGTGTGTTTTGCTGGCTCAGTCTCCGTGTGTGTGTGTTATCAGTCTCTCGCGCTCTCTCTCTTTCTCTCTACTCGGGCCTGTCAGATCCTCTCAGCAGTGTGTGGCTGGTGGAAAAGCAGCGTGGCTGCGGCTCTATTTGAAGTTGTAATGGTGTCAAAAAGTCAGAGCTGACTGACAGCCGTCAGTCCCACTGGGGCTCATTAAATCATAACAACTTGACAAGGAAATAATTGAGCGCTGACGATAAGTTGGGACCCATTTAGATGTTATTATTTTCTTTCATTATTATTTGTGGCTATTATGTTCATTAAGAAATTGCATTAAGCAACCATTGGGGGGGCTAATGATTTGTTTATATCCCCTTTTTTATTATTTAAACATTAGGTGTGTCATGTGACACCTTCGGCAGGCTGGCGGTATCATCTGCCGCATATGGCAGTTTTTTCCCTTCTTTTTTTTCTTTTTCACTCTTCCTTTCTTTTTATCCTTCTTTTTCACCCTCTATGCCTCCCTGTCTACTTCCCTCCTTTCTTTCTCTCTCTCTCTCTCTCTCTCTCTAAGCAGCGGGTGCCTTTGGAATATGAAATAGATTATTCATTACCCTCTTCTCTGTAGCTGATTTGGTTTGCGTGTAGAGTCTTCTATGTGAGAAGGATGAAAACTTGTCAAAAATGGGTTGTATCTTATTCCGAGGGGCAACAATAGTGGCAGTTACAGACACACTTTAATATTTCATTATGCCTGACGTTAACCCTGCTAAGTGACTTTGGCTAGCAGGCCTTTAGTGAGAAAGAGACTCTGATTAGCTCCTATCACAGAACAGGCTACAAAGAGGCAGACAAGACCCACTGCGGTCACGGCAGAGATG